ACACTGAGTCCACAGAACACAGCTCTCCTGACCCGGCCCCGCCCCCTGGTGGGCTGAGCTGGCCACACACACACCTCTCTCTCTCTCTCTCTCTCTCTCTCTCTCTCTCTCTCTCTCTCTCCCTCATTGTAGGTGACCATCTCCCAACAACAAGAAGTAACGCAAGAGATCTCTAACCTGCAGGGGAGGAGTAGGAAAAAGCCGAGGAATCCCTCAATTCAAATGAGATGTATAAAATGTGAGAAACAGTGCAAAATATTACAGAAAATATGACCAAAGTAAGGCTGTAGTAGCGCAAGTCATGAATCTGTTTGATGGCAATGCAATGCCACACTTTTGCAAAGTCCTCAAAAGGAAGCAAAAGCAAGTGTCATTGGATAGCTTTTTTGTTAAAGTTGCAAGAAAAGATAAAAATTGAATTGAGCCAATAGCACTGATTCTGTTAGTGGTAGTGAACATCACAAAAATAATCCTCTCTCTTGTCTTCCCCACACCAACCATGAAGATCTTCAAAGCTAAGTGCAAGTTAATTAGCTTTATTTTTTTTATTTTTCTTTACATTTTGCACTTTCTGAATTATTTTGTATCATGATTCAGTACTGTAATAATTTTATACGAAGAATTTGGGCTTGTGAAACAAATCATTTAAGTTTCCATTGCATATTTCTTATGAGGAAATCCACTTTGATGTACAAATGCTGTAATTCTTGATACACTGTCAATTTGAGAAATCTAGACACTTAACTAAGTGACCCAGCCATTCTATATACTAAGGTGTAGAGGGTACACCCTAGACCAGCTGTTTACACTCTGCAATGTTGTGAGGGTTGATTCACTTTGTCAATTTGAGAAGCTTAGAAGTTTAACTAAGAGATTCAGCAGGAGCCCAGGGACCTCACTTTGTAAACATCCTTAGCCTGTGCAAGAGGGGGGCATGGAGATGGATTAAGTGCTACACCCACCCTAAGGCAGGAAGCCTTCTTACAATATGAGGGAGGAAAAGAGGCTTGCTCTTTCCCCTTTTGCTCTTGTCACTTTTGCTGTCTTCTCCTACATGAACTCTTGCTCCTCTGCCATGCCACACTGCTTTGGAGCCAGGCAGTTGTGGACTACAACATCTACAAACCATGCACTAAATAAACCTTTGGGTGTCAGGTACTTTGTCTCAGCAATGAGAGAAAAGTAACTGACCCAAATCCTTTGGATTACACACA